GAACAGGAAGAAAAGTTGCTCACAGTCTACCATCCAAACCCAGTCATTGTCAATATTCTGTGTTTCCTTCTAATCTCTTATGGGCGTGAACTTCTGTTTTTCTCCTTTGTAGTCACATTGCTTTTTTTCATTCCCTGGACAGTCCGTGGTCAGCATTTCCATGTTACTGTATAGCCTGGCATTAGTCGTTCAGATTGTGCCATTCTCATTGTAATCTGTCTCTCTCCTGCCTGTGTGCTTTGGCAAGTTGTGCTCACCTGAAATTCGCTACCTTCTCTTTTCCAGGGAACCCCAGGAAATCCTTGTTAGTTACTGGCAGTGCAGTAGTGAACAGAGGCCTGAATGTGGATAAGATTGATTGGGTCCAAGGGCCTTCTCGGTGCTTGGAATTAAAAGCCATGACTTTGGAACAGAAAGAGCCTAAGGGAAGTAAGGAGATGGTTTCCTAGAAGGCAGCAGAAAGCAAGGAGAGCCCCGAGTGATGATAGAGGAAACAGACCGAGGATTAGGGAGAATACATTAGGGAGACTTGTTGATCTGACAGAAAAAATTAGTTTTAAATGAGACTAGCATAGAAAACAAAGACCAAAAAAATGACAAAAATAATTGCCAAGGGCATCATAACATTACAACATTAAAAAAACCTACAGGTGAAGAAATACCTTAAAAGCAAACAGGAAAGAGTGTAAGGAACAAAATTTCTGGCCTCAGATGTCTTTTTTTAAAAAAAAAATAGAGAAGGTCTCACTACGTTGCCCAGGCTGGTCTGAAACTCTTGGGTTCAAGCAATCCTCTCATCTCGGCCTCCCAAGGTGCCGGGATTACGGGCACGAGCCACTGCACCCAGCCTCACATGTCTATTTTAGTTTAGAGAAAGTCGTACACATCAAAACTTGGGCAATGGATAATCCTGTTCAAAAGAAGCAGGTAAAGATACAAAGAAAAAAAAAGAGAGGCAGGCAGGCGCTGGGTGCAGTGGTGCACGCCTGTGATCCCGCACTTTGGAAGACCGAGACAGACGGATCACTGGAGGTCAGGAATTCAAGACCAGCCTGGGCAACATGGTGAAACCCCATCTCTGCAAAAAATAAAAAAATTAGCTGAGCACGGAGGTTTTTTCTTTTGGAAAAGGTCTTACTCTGTTGCCCAGGCTGGAGTGCGGTTGTGCGATCATGGCTCTTTGCAGCCTCAACCTCCTGGGCTCAAGCAGTCCCACTTCAGCCTCCTGAGTACCTGGGACTGTAGCTGTACACCACCACACTCAGCTAATTTTTAAAATTTCTGGTAGAGATCAGATCTCCCAGTGTTACCCAGGCTGGCCTCTCGAACTCCTGGGCTCAAGCAGTCCTCCCACCTCAGCCTGCCAAAGTGCTGGGATTATAAGCATGAGCCACAATGCCCACCTGGATTCATAAATCTTCATGGTATCTTTATCTTTTTAAATCTGGGCTGTCAGGAAAGTACTCAACTGAGTTACTCTGGCCACACTCACATGGGCTCCTGTTAAACGCATCTCTTAACTCTTTGAGATTTAAAATTATTATGTGTTTAAAATTGTTAAACACATTTTTTTATTTGTAAAATTTTTTTGTTTTAAATAGAAGTAGTAGCATATATCTGCAGAAGAAGGATGGGAGAAAAAAATTTTTAATTTTGTTACTAGCATGTAAAAACATGCTTGGGAGTAACAGACATTAAATTCTTTTTTTTAATTTAATTTAATTTTTTTTTTTTTTGAGACGGAGTCTCGCTCTGTCGCCCAGGCTGGAGTGTAATGGCGTGATCTTGGCTCACTGCAAGCTC